GTACATTGTAACAGGAAACTACAGTTTGTTTATCTTAAGTAGCTTCAAGCTCATAACAGTAAAGGTAGATTTATACCTATTTTATTCTTTCAAACTAGTTGTAAATCACTCGGTGAATGTACAGCTTATTTTATTGTATTGAATGACACAACTTACAAGCTGCTTTAAGCACACCTCATGAATAATTTTTATTATTATTATTTTCTTTATCTTATTTAATTTAACCTAATAAGTTTATAATTGTTATATATTAGTTGCTTTTAACTAATTCACCTATAACCTCTTATGTTTTTTGCTGTTTGTTGTAGAGTAAATTTAAACCTACTTTTTTATACTAATGGAACTAGTATGCTAAATGATTTTTATTTACTTTGATAATACACATAAGAATACAGAAGAATAACATATGCAAAGCAAACTGTTCTGTAATTATCATAATTTATCTGGCTTTCTAGCTATGACAAGAGTCTTTAAAGCTTGTTGACCTAAATACCTTGAGAGAAACGTTTAAACTGAAAAAGAAAGAAATAATACTTTGTACTAAAACAATGTAATATAATGTAATTTGATAGATTAAAACATTGGGTTTCTAATGGTTATAAATAATGTTGTATAAAATTCAAGAGAGAACTATTGACAATTTGTGAAAGAGAATATGGCAAGTGGATCTGATTTTCTGGGTTATGATTCTGTAAACAAATATCATTTAAGGCTCTTAGTGTTAGAGTCTGCCTTTTTAACTTCTATAATATGTAATTTAAGTGAAATTCTTTACCACTCAGAGGAATGGTAAATAAACTGGAAAAAGGGAAGACTCAGAGAAAAAAAGTGTTGAAGCTCTGATACTAGAGGAGATAGAGGATTTTTTTAAAATTATTTCTTTATGAAATTAAGAACTTAATAGTTACATAATATTAAGATTAGATTAATTATGTTTTGCATATACAATGATAATGAAGTATATATATTATATTTTGAATGTTAATAACACTAAAAACTTGTAACATGTACTTTGACCTACCTCTAGGAAAAGGGTCAGAAGAGTTGGTTGAATTCTTGGTGATCTTTTAAGAGTTATTGAACCATGTGAGATAGGATTAACTTGAAGTTTACAGATCTGTATTTGGTGTGTTTTTTGTTACTTCTGCTTTGGAATCATTGTGTGAAAATCTTTAAAGTGATAGAAAAAAAGACAACATAATATTTGAAAATATTTTAAGATTAAGTTTCTCTGAAAATGAATGTGGAGAGAAGTAGTTGTTTCTATAAAAAGAAATATTAAGAAACTTTCTAACTGACCAGGGTTTGTAATCTTCCTGGTTTTTCATGTATAAACTTTGTAAATAATGGTTGGTACCCATTTCTATATATTAATGTTTTAACAGTTCATAGATTGTACTGCTGTCATTTATTTCTGTATATGTGATTCTCTGAACACTACCAGCCCTACCAAATCTGAGAATTGAATAATCCTAAACCTCCAGTATTTAAATTTAGGATTTTGAAGCCAGTAATGAAGCAAATTCTAATCACAAGAATGATAGCTAAACTTGATACATATTATATAAATAAACATTTTACTTTTTTCTAAATCATGGCATTTATAAATATTTATTTAACACATATAAAACTTGTGAACAGTAACTATAAAGTATATTAGTGTTAATTGACTTGTTAAGTAGAAGATTTCATGATAATCAACCAATTCAAGTTAGGAAATATCTCTAACAGTTAATGCAGAAATGTACTGGCTGAAAGTAATGTTGGTTATTTTGACACTGTACCATCATATTTCCACAGGTGATTTTAGACTTTATTTTTTAAAAAATTCTCTTGAATGTGGTATGTTACAAACAGTTTGTTTTCAGTGCTTTTCTGATCTAGGTAGAAAAGTTTTAATAAAGTTTGAAACTATGAAAAGGACATCATAATTAGTTATAGCTTTAATATTTTCATATTGATATTTCTGTTGATCATATATATTTAATATTCATCAAATAATATACCGTATGATATATTTATTATAAACTGTTCTTGTGACATCATTTGTATCTATTTCAGATATAGAGACCAGTATGAACATCTGTTGTGGGAGTCAGTTTCCAGGTTATCATGTTACAAAACAAGAAGATCACTTTACAGAAGACATGAAATCCCCAAACAAAAACATTTGTGGAGAAACAAAGTTAAGTGGAAATAACCAAAAAGAATCTAATATACCTGAATGTTGTGGGAAAACATTTGATAACCTAAAACAACAAAAGAGGATACACTCTGGAGAGAAACTTTATCATTGTACTGTGTGTAGAAAACACTTTGGTACAAATACTATCTTACAAACACATCAAAGAATAAACACTGGAGAGAAACTTTACAGTTGTACAGTTTGTGAAAAGCTGTTTGGAACAAATATTAAATTAAAAATACGTCAAATAACACACAATGGTAAGAAACTTTACAGTTGTGTAGTTTGTGCTAAACAATTTATATTTAGGTGTAAATTAAAACAACATCTAATAACACACACTGGTAAGAAACCTTACAGTTGTGGAGTGTGTGCTAAACAATTTACTTTTAGGTGTAAGTTAAAAGAACATCAAAGAATACACACTGGGGAGAAACCTTACAGTTGTACAGTGTGTAGAAAACACTTTGGCAAAAGTAGTGTTTTAAAAGCACATCAAAAAATACACACTGGGGAGAAACCTTACAGTTGTACAGTGTGTGGAAAACCATTTTTAACAAATGGTAAATTAAAAAGACATAAAAGAGTACACACTCGGGTCAAACTTTACAGTTGTACAGTGTGTGGAAAACAATTAGAAACAAATGGTCAATTGAAGATACATCAAAGAATACACACTGAGGAGAAACCATGCAGCTGTACAGTGTGTGGAAAACAGCTCAGTACAAATAGTATCTTAAAAAGACATCAAAGAATACACAGTGGGGAGAAACCTTACAGTTGTACAGTGTGTGGAAAACAGTTTAGTACAAACAGTATCTTAAAAAGCATGAAAGAATACACACTGGGGAGAAACCTTACACTTGTACAATGTGTGGAAAACAGTTTCGGAAAAAGGGTCATTTAAAAATACATGAAAGAATACACACTGGGGAGAAACCTTATATTTGTACAGTGTGTGGAAAACAGTTTGGAAGAAAGGATGAATTAAACATACATGAAAGAATACACACTGGGGTGAGACCTTACAGTTGTACAGTGTGTGGAAAATACTTTGATAGAAATGGTAACTTAAAACAACATCAAAGGATACACACTGGGGAGAAACCTTACAGTTGCACAAATTGTGGAAAAAAATTTGGAAAAAAAAGTGATTTAAAAATGCATGAAAGAATACACACTGGAGAGAAACCTTACAGTTGTACAGTGTGTGGAAAACAGTCTGGTACAAAGGGTGATTTAAAAATACATGAAAGAATTCACACTGGGGACAAACCTTACAGTTGTACAGTGTGTGGAAAACACTTTGGAACAAAAAGTCATTTGAAAATACATGAAAGAATACACACTGGAGAGAAACCTTACAATTGTATGGTATGTGGAAAACAGTTTGGAACAAATAGTGATTTAAAAGTACATGAAAGAATACACACTGGGAAGAAACCTTACAGTTGTACAATGTGTGGAAAACAGTTTGGTGCAAATAGATACTTAAAACAACATCAAAGAATACACAGTGTAGAGAAATCTTACGATGTACAATGTATGGAAAATAGTTGGGAAAAAACAGAAAATTAAACATATACATACACACTGGAGAAAAAACTTAATGTTGTAAAAATTCTGGAAAAGAGTTTGGTAGGAGTCGTTGCTTAAAACAACATCAAATTATACACTAGGGAGAAATTTACAGTTGTGCAATTTGTGTAAAAGACTTTAGATAAAGTAGTTCCTTCGAATATCGTGAAAGTATATGTACTAGATAGCAACTACAAAAAGTATATATACTAGATAGCAACTATAGAAAGTATATATGTACTAGATAGCAACTATAAAAAGTATATATACTAGATAGCAACTATAGAAAGTATATATACTAGATAGCAACTATGGAAAGTATATATGTACTAGATAGCAACTATAAAAAATATATATACTAGATAGCAACTATAGAAAGTATATATACTAGATAGCAACTATGGAAAGTATATGTACTAGATAGCAACTATAGAAAGTATATTATATACTAGATAGCAACTATAGAAAGTATATATACTAGATAGCAACTATAGAAAGTATATATACTAGATAGCAACTATAGAAAGTATATATACTAGATAGCAACTATAGAAAGTATATATATACTAGATAGCAACTATAGAAAGTATATATATACTACATAGCAACTATAGAAAGTATATATATACTAGATAGCAACACTACAGTTGTTATTTTGTTTAGAAAACTATTTTGAGGTAACTCTTGACTTAAGAAATCACAATGAATACATACTGGGATGAAACCTTACAGTTGTGTAGTATGTAATAAAGAGCTTAGAACAAATAGTGTATTGAAATATCATAAAGGAATACATATGGGAGAGATAACTTACAGTTTTTCGGTTTATTGAAAACAGTTTGGAACAAACAATATATTAAAAATACTTAAGAGAAACCATACTGTTGTCTACTCTGTTGTGAATAACTTGGAACAAACAGTAACTACTACTGAATGTGGTAGTTGTTGAACCACGAGAGACAGGATTAAGGTGTACAGATCTGTCTTTGTTGTGTTTTTGATACCTGTAATTGGGAATTATTTTGTGTTAGTGTTGACATGATAAAGTGACAACAAAAGAAATTTAACAGTTCATTAGAACCATTTTATTGATATTAATATTTCAATATGTATAGAACGTGTTTCTATGATTGATTTCCATTGATTTGATTTTCTAAACACATATATTATTTTGAATTTGGGGAAGTGAATGATCCCAAACCTCCAGTCTGATAATTTTTTATGTTGAAGAAAGTAATCATTGAGTTTGTACTGAGATTATTCTGTTATAAACATGACAAAAATAAATAAAATACCGATAAACACTTTATTTTTTCTAAATGTTAACTTTCCTACATGTTTGAATTAAATATACATATTTCAAAAAATGGAACTTTAAAATATTGTTGCGTATCTGCTTGTTTGTTAATTTCCCATAGAAATTCTTTCCGAGAAACTTCAGCAATACAAATCCTTTCCTCATTTAAACTAGTTTATTCTTTCTCGATACAAACTTTTAGCACACAGGAGTTCCACAATCAGTACGTTTCTAAACTTAACTACTTTTATAATACACGCTATAAATCACAGCGAAACATAATCTCGAAAACACACACTAGCTCGAAACAGAATCGTAAATTACCTGGAACTTTTTTCACTCATTCCATTCTTGCAGGCTTTCCCTGCCCAAACTTTGCAATACACAGAACTTCCACAGTCAATACGTTTGCAATTTCGATAACAAAACACACACACTTTATATTACTGTCACTACCACTCGCTTCACTCAATTATCTGTCTCTATTTCTATCTATCTGCAGTCATGTCTCCACTTTATTTTTCTGGCTTGTATACAAAAAAAGAGGGCACCTAGAATAGACTAGAGTTGCCAGGAAAAGTCAAGATTCATTGAGAATCTCTTGACGTGTTACCAGTGTCATAAGAGTATTGATATCAGTCAATATGTTCAGAGAAAAGAGTATTAGAAGATTTTGTTATAAACAACCACTTAAAATGGGAAGATATCTCTTAGAATTAACCCAGAAATCACTAACTCAAAGTAATGTTGGTTGTTGTAACAATTTACCATCATATTTCCACAGTTTAAAATATGAATACCTCCATTTTTATGTTTTGAATAGTAATTCAATAGAGCGAAAAGTTTTATAAAGTGTGTAAATTGCATCATAATTATTTTTTACCTATAATGTTTTGATTTTGATATTTGTAAAAACTATTAAATTTCACATAAAAGCTCATCAAATAATAATGTATGAGGTATTTGTTATTAAAACCTGGTGTGGCCTTTTAATTTGGGTGTGTAAAATATAATCATGGCTGTAATGGACAATGTGTGTAAAATATAATACATCATATCTGTAGTGGACTATGTGTGTAAAATATAATACATCATGGCTGTAATGGACTATGTGTGTAAAATATAATGCATCATAGCTGTAGTGGACTATGTGTGTAAAATATAATACATCATGGCTGTGATGGACTATGTGTGTAAAATATAATACATCATAGCTGTAGTGGACT